TAAAATGACCTCATCGCTTTTCTGAAGTTGTTTACCAATGCATAAGGTCTTTATTTTCAAACTAGGCTTGGTAAGGTGTACCCACACTATATGAAAGTGCTTATAAAAGGGACATTTCTTTAAACAAACCTTTCTGTTTGGATGGTCATTTTTTGTATAAAGAATAAATGAAGATAAAACAAATGTAGATGACAGCAGACAGACCATTCTTCCAAATTGCTTTAATAACTTCTGCCTCAGTCTATTAATTGCAAAGACCACCACTTGTCCATATTACCAAAAATCTAAAATACAGTATTTTAAAAACACAAGCTAACCAGATAAGACACACATTAGGGCATTCTAGCAGAGAATGACCAGATTCTCAGAATTGAAGAAGAAACACGGTCTCCCTTTGTTGAGCTTGTTATTTCCAAAAAACAATTAGGCAACAACCGTCGACCCCGGTGAACAGGTCTACACAACAAAGAGTACCACCTGTCGACTGCAGTGAATAAACTAATTAAACTAATAAGACACACTATTTAATTTCCATCCCTCAAACACACCCCCCCCCCCCCCCCCCCCCCCCGGTCTGTGAACGCTGTTGTCCGACGCCCTTCATCCGGACCACAGCCCAGCCTTTCCTCTCCGTCTGATAGGAAGATCAAAGCATTTGCTTTTGCACTCAATATCGCAGAATTCTGGTATTCAAATTGGAGGTAATGTCATCCCCCCTCTCTCCCCCCCCGCTCGCACTTCTCATGAGCTGCTGGAGGGGAGAGTGTGACCTGTTTCATAACCAGCAATCCATAAACATGCAGGAGATGACAGACGAACTCAACAAGAAGCTAGTGGCTCTTTAGCGCTTTGTTTGTATTGCCTGTCTATGAATGCTGCCATTCCCTACTGTGTGATTTCAAACCAATCCTCATACCTCAATGAGAAAATGGCTCATCTGTAAGTGCTTTCCTAAATGACTCCTCGTGTGAGCGGTTTATGATCTGGCACACCTTTCGGCAGGACAAATACCTTCTGGACGTGCAATAAAGCTCAAGGGTTTGCAATGTCAGGTCTGTCCACCACTTTAGTCCACACTTAAGTATCTCAACAACCATTGGATGGATTACCATGATATTTGGTGCATCCATTAACAGTCCCAAGAGGATGTCGCCTACTGACTTTGGTGATTCGCAGATTTAACTTTGGTGCCAACAGCAGGTTGACATTTTCGATTGTTTTACTGCCATGTCCAGACAACAATGGGGCAGATTGCCATGGTGTTTGGAACAGATATCAATGCTTCTTAGAGGGTAAATCCTATTGAGTGTCCTGATTACCTGACTTTGCCTATAGCGCCACCGGCAAGTGGTGAGTTATGTTGTTGTTATGTTTTGGTGATTAGAATTTCATGGTTTCATTTAAGGAAGAAAATCATGATGCAAACCTTGGTCTCTCATATGAAAATCAGATGCTTTTTATGCCAGTTCCACTCATATTGAGACCATATTTGAGTTAGTTATAGTATATGTATATAGTATATCACGCTATGTTTGGAATTGGAATAAAACTGCTTTTATTTGCAACAAGAGGTCTCCAGTCAGAACAACAAACAGTGAATATTACTTATTCAAAGAATTTTAAATGTACCTTCTTCACAGTGTGCAGTGCACTGGTTCATTGCACACACAACTGAAGTGTGACTAACTCAGTCCATGCCATGACCTCCATAAACAGGTCGGCTCGTTCATTAAATGTTTCATGAGCTTCTCACCGACTTAGCTGTATGCAAGAGAAACAGATTACAAAAGCTGTTGAATGATAAATGAGTTTATGTTCTGTGTAGATGAATGTGCAGTATGTGGGTGTGTGTTTGTTTTAGTCCTATACCTCCAGAGTGAGGACGTGTCTTTAGGGATTAGAGCTTGGGTTTACAATAAGGTTAGAGTAGGAATTGGTTAAAGAAAATAGGTCATAGTGTTAGGTAGGTGCTAAATATAGATCACAAAAGGTTAAAGCTATGCATTTTGTGCTTATGGTTTTGAAAACATGAAGTTTATAAAGTCAGTGGAGGGTCCCCATGAGCAAAAGGAGTAGTGGTTATTGAAGAAAGTAAAAAAAAAAGTGAATATGTAGAGTTATGTTTGGATGGATTGGCAAAGGATGATGACTCAGACTTGTATGCATATGCCTGCTGTCAGTTTCCTTAAGGATTCTGATGCACAGGAACGTGTTGGCGTGTCTTTGTTTGTACAGTATGTAAAAATGAGAAGTTAAGAAAAGAAAGACATCATCAGGAGGTTGCACTGGCAGTAAGGCTGCAACTAGTGATTATCTTCATAATTAATCCATTAATCATTTGGTCTATTAAGTGTCCGAAAATATTGAAAAATGTCCGTCCCATTTTAATCCAAGCTGATGGCTTAAATGAATATGTTCCCAAATCCAGAACCCAAAGACATTACTTTTCATATATCATGATGATATAAACCAGAAGGACCGTTTTTTATTTTTTTTATTTCTGCATACAAAATGTATTAAAATTAAATGTCTTGATTTTTTTTTTTCTGCGTGATTGACTATAGCCGACTAATCATTAAAGCTCAACCTGGCATAGAGTATGTGTATGTGTGCAGGTGTGTGTGCGGGTGTGTGTGTAAGAGTGAGGCAGGAGGGAAAGCCTTCTTTGTACGTGACACCCATGTCAATTCCCACCCTGTCTCACCATTGATGCATGCATGTGCACCTCGCCTCACCTATCTCACAGTTCCCAGCCTGCAGGGGAAGAAAAGCTATACGGAAGACTGACGGTACACAGAGGCTCATATTAACCAGACCATCCTGCTATAATCAAAGTCATTTGACATAAAGGTCTATTCCCCTCACCAGTTCCAACCGAATAGCTGTAAACTGACCTGTAACATCCTGATTATAAAACAAGCTCTATGGCTCTTGACGAAAACAGAATCAACAACAATACTTACTAAGCAGATACAGTAATCCAGCTGTCTCCAGATGTTTCACTATAGGGACACTGTTGTGCTCTCAGCTGCTTCATCCAAAGTTTATTCTGGCACAGCACACGATGAGCACAAAATGTACAGAATGTATGGAAATGAACCTCATCCTTCAAAATGGAATAGAAAAATAAATGGTGTCTCCGAGATAAAATCCTTTGATTTAAATATACATTGCAACATAAATGGCTGTATTGGGGGTACAAAAAAGTCCACAGATCTGCCGTTGCAGACGGAGGTCTAGCACTTAAAATCTGCTGGAGTCCAGCCTGCCCTTCAGATAGAATGGGGAAAAGAAGCGAGCATGTGTTGATGAAATGGAGAGAGATGTGTGTGCACATGCCTTGCTATGTTTGTGTGTGGTGGAGAGATGCAGAGAAAACACTGCTGAATGCTTACTTCCTTATTCAGGAGGTTGCTTGCAGGGGAAAGGCTGATGAATTTTGGATGTGGTTCAGCTGCATTCCCCATCTACGGGAGGCAAGGTTCAGTCTGCCAATAAACTCGGAAATAATTCAACTCTGAACTTTGTGTGTGAACGAGAGAGGGGTTGTATAACCCAATCATGTATTTGAGTGTGTATGTTTGCGTTTGAAAGGGATCATCCTCAATACCAGTTATGCAAGTTAACATGAAATGTCTCCTGTCCCCACACACACACACACACACACACACACACACACACACACACACACACACACACACACACACACACACACACACACACACACACACACACACACACACACACACTGCACTGTAATGTAATGCACTCAAGCACGGCTCACGTATACGGGCTGTGCAATGTTAAGGAAGACACACTGAGAGAATGACGTAATAGCACATCAGCCCACATCTGTGGACGTCGGAGTCTGCACAAGTCAAGGTCATTCATTGATCGAATTAAAGTCACACAGCGAGGCCTGCAGCGAGGCCACCGCCGAGACGCAGGACAACTACATTTGTATTCTGATCTCAGTCAAGATCTCAGCTCGATGTCTGCACTTCATGTGTGGATACATGAACAGCCACACGTGCTTTTTTAGGCAAACTGCAGCTTCAGCTCAGCCATGCAGCCAGCACATGATGGAGATTGTGCTAGAACAGCTGGATGCAGACTCAACCATTAATAATACAAATATTCATACAGCCCCATACACTGAACGAGTGAGTCGTTAACAGCTTTTAACGGGCTGGACTCGTGCCAAACAGTCTGAGTCCCATGTTATTTCCAGGCTGAATTAATTACCAGCCGCTTACCAGAGCTGCCCCTCAGTGACCGGTCCAATAACTGACCACGATAGGTGATCACTGCAACGATCTGATCGATTCAGTGATTGATTAATTGGCGGCCGTATCATTTGCCCGCCGGGCCGTGAAGGCAGCAGCAGCCCCTTCGCTGCGCTGCGCTCGGGTCGATGCGGCCAGACAGAAAGCCGTTTGTCTTTAAAACACCATTATCAAAAGGATGGCAGGCTATTTCTTTTCAAAGCAGAGGAAAGGCTATTTTAGGTGAGAAATTGCATGAGGGTTACGGTGAGTCCCAGCAACCCTCGCTTTGCCTCTGCATGACTTTCATTACACAATGATGCTTCATTCACAACATCAGATAGCTCCGACGCGCCAGGGGCAAATATCCTCTTCCAGCATTATTTAATCCAGATAAAACAATTTTGTAGGATTAAAGGGAAGCCTTTTCTTAAATTGGCTTGATTTAATCATCACAAATCTTGTTTAGAGGGATGTCTTTTTATTTTAAAGCACACGTTTTCTCGGATGCACGCCCCGGGGCTAGACGGGACAGTCGGAGGACGTGAGAAAAGCGCAAAGAACCTCTGCGCATTACAAAGAAGGGCTAGCTCTACCCGGGAAGCGCAGTGGAATTGAACTGTCACACATGGGTAACTTCGGTTGGGTGGCACCTGAAAGCTTAAATACCTGCCAAGTCTCACTGAAGCTTCCATGTAACGTGTTCAAATGCGGAGAGCTCCGGGTGTCACTCACCTAACTTTTGCTGCCACAGAAGAAATCGCATCGTTTCTTAAATTCTTCCTTTTGGATACGGCAGTTCCCATGCTGACATGGAAACGACGCAGGCAGGAAACCCGTTCATTCCAAAGACACGGAGGGAATGCGACAACCAAAACAGTATAAAAACCGCAGCAACAAAAAGAAGGAAAACAAAGTTGAAAATGGGAAATCCTGGAGAAGGTATGTCTCGCACGCGTCTGCAGAGGAAATGATGCAGAAAAGGGAGGAATGTCAGACTTGCTCTCTCTGTGTTTCTCAGGATATGAGCACGTACGTGGGGTAGCTGCACAGCTGTCAGCGTGTGGCTGAAAATACACAGACCTCTCTCTCTCTCTCTTTCTCTCTTTCTCCCTCCCTCATTGATCTGAAAATGCAATGAGGGGATGGGGGGGTGGTGATATCACCATCATCATCATCATCACAGAGGGGAGGGAGGGACACTGGTGCCATCCACATATAGGAACCTCTGCCTTTCATCTCATCCTTTTTTTGGACCATTTCGTATCTATTTGGTTATTGCATGTTATGTAAACGGTCATTTTGGTAAAAGCCTCTCCCTCTCACACACAAACGTCAAAAATGGTTCTCATCCCCAGCCAAGGACAGAGGGAGCATGAAGTTCAGGCGCTGCAGTGCACTGAGCCCCACATAATATGGCACGAGGACAATAGCTTTAGACTGTGAGTTTTTTCTGCTGTTGAATATTTATTTCTCCAAGCCATTGTTATCAGTATTCAAAAGAGTGCAGGAGACTGACAGATCAAAAAGGGCAGCTCCTCTGTGGAGCAATATGAGAGGTTTCCTTCATGGATCCACAATGCTCTTTTGCATGTAATTATGCAATTGTGATTGCAAGAGTTGCAATGACTTCTATGTGTTACTAAAGCAGTTGCACACACCTTAATCAGGTCATCATTATTCTCACTTAAATCAATTGATGCATACTGTAAAAACCTTTCAGGATGTCTTTAGGCCTTTAGATCTCACATACAGTAAGGGTAGTACAAAACAATCCTTTAAACACTTAAAAATACATAAATTAAACTTGAATGTCAAGGTAAAAGTCCTTAATTTAACGTACAAATGTTTCCTTATCGTGAGTTCTAAAAATTGCAGTTTTTTTATTTTTAAGTTCAAGTCTATGTAGAGTTGGTAATGGTTGAGATTTTTTAGATGGGCCGATTTCTGCAGAACATGTACTGTAGGAGGAGAATGGCCTCTGTCTGAAAATGTGCCACATAAATAAACGTACCTTACCTTAGAGTATGATTTTATCTATTGCTGCAGATGCTTTCTTTGCTCCTTTTGTGCGAATGTAGAACACAATATAAAAGACAAACATGTTTATATCAAACAGATACAGTGCATCCGGAAAGTATTCATACCCCTTCACTTTTTCCACATTTTGTTATGTTACAGCTATATTTCAAAATGGATTAAATGCATTTGTTTTCTCAACATTCTAGACACAATACCCCATAATGACAAAGTTAAAAAAGTTTTAAAATAATTTTTGCAAATGAATTAAAAATAAAAAACTCATATCACATGTGCATAAGTATTCACACCCTTAACTCAATACTTTTTTGAAGCACCTTTGGCAGCAATTACAGCCTCAAGTCTTCTTGAGTATGATGCTACAAGCTTGGCACACCTATCTTTGGGCAGTTTCTCCCATTCTTCTTTGCAGATCGTCTCAAGCTCCATCAGGTTGGATGGGGAGCGTCGGTGCACAGCCATTTTCAGATCTCTCCAGAGACGTTCAATCGGGGTCAAGTCTGGGCTCTGGTTGAGGCACTCAAGAACATTCACAGACTTGTCCTGAAGCCACTCCTTTGTTATCGTGGCTGTGTGCTTAGGGTCGTTGTCCTGTTGAAAGGTGAACCACGCCCCAGTCTGATGTCCAGAGCGCTCTGGAGCAGGTTTTCATCAAGGATCTCCCTGTACATTGCTGCATTCATCTTTCCCTTGACCCTGACTAGGACCATCAGGTTCTTGGTCACCTCTCTGACTAAGGTCCTTCTCCCCCGGTGTTCAGTTTGGTTTGGGAAGCAAGCTCTAGGAAGAGCCCTGGTGGTTTCAAACATCTTCCATTTGCAAATGATGGAAACCACTGTGCTCGTTGGGACGTTCAATGCTGCAGACATTTTTCTGTACCCTTCCCCAGATCTGTGCCTTGATACAATCCTGACTCTGAGGTCTACAGTCAATTCCTTGGACCTCATGACTTGGTTTGTGCTCTGATGTGCACTGTCAATTGTGGGACCTCATTTATACCCCTTTCACACCGGCGCTTTTCCAGCTCCTGCTGGGAGCCTGAGCCTGAAAAGTGCCGGTTTTTCCTGTTCACACCGCAGCGGCGGCGCGTCATAGCTCCGGAATGCGGTTCACTTCCAGCTCCAAAAAATTGTCGGTCCAGAGGCAAGAGCTTCGGAGCTATGACGCGGCGTCGCTTACGTCTCTTACGTCGAGGCGTGCAGGAAACCTTACTTTGACCATCCGTTCGCTGTTATTGATCATTGTGGAGATACATGGGCTATACAGGTTGTCATGTCCGACTATCACAAGTAGAATCATAATGAAAAATACGCCGGTAAAATGTGCCTATAGAAAACGGCTTAGCAAGTAGTCAGTTTAGCTTTGGTTGCTATGCTAACATCACCCATGTTATACCAGAGAAACTTTCATAACAGCGTTGTGATGCCAAACAGCGTCAATTCAGACTGACACACATTCACTTAAGGGGAACTGGGGATATGTATCAGCTGCTTGTGTGACAGTCAGACAGTGAATACTTTAGAGCCGTGTGAGCTAACCCGGAGCTAACGGGAGAATACACTCGTGGAAGAGCAGCCGGCCAGCACTGCAGCGGTCGGTAAATGCCGCTGAAACACATTAATAAACAATGAACCACGGCACTCTGGAGAAAAGTATAAGGTTGGAGAAGTCGTTATTTAATTTAATCTGGCTTCGTATGATTAAAAGCAACACGACCCGATGCAGTCCCCGGCCCGTTGTTGTTGTGGGAGAAAATCAGCGACGTAAACTGTGACGTCATGACGCAGCAGCGGCAGCTCTGGGCAGTGTGAACAGAGCGGGAGCTGAAAAGGGAAACGGGAGCTGAACCAGAAAAGCTCTCGCGAGGAGCTAGAAAGTGAAAAGCGCCGGTGTGAAAGCCGCAATAGACAATTTAATTTACCACAGGTGGACTCCAATCAAGTTATAGAAACATTTCAAGGATGATCAGTGGAAACGGGATGCGCCTGAGCTCAATTTTCAGTGTCAAAGCAAAGGGTGTGAATACTTATGTACATGTGATATTTCATTTGATTATTTTTAACACGTTTGCAAAAAATTATTTAAAAACGTTTTCACTTTGTCATTATGGGGTATTGTGTGTGGAATATTGAGAAACAAAATGAATTGAATCCATTTTGAAATAAGGCTGTAACATAACAAAATGTGAAAAAAGTTAAGGGGTATGAATACTTTCCGGATGCACTGTATATTATTTACAAAAACCAACACTATGTGCAGACATTTTCATGTCAAACTGTGCGAATCAATGTTGGCATGATTCCCAGCGGTATAGAAAATGTGTTGGCTCCCACTGCTCAGAGATAATTAATCACTTGTCATTGATTGAAGATAATTAGTGGTTCACACACACCCACACACACCCAAACACACACATGTTGGCACATGCACACATCAACTTATTGAAGCACAGGTACCAGACAGATCCCCCAGTAACGCACGACTAGCCTTCAAACATCAAACCAGTCAGTCTTTCAATAAACAGGTCATTTCACAAGCAGCTCCAGTGTGCAGTTTGTCCTTGAGCTTTATATCTTTTAAAATGTGCTTGTCCTGCACACACACACAGTCACTTGTGCACACACACACACACAAACACACACACATACTAAGACAAAAGGAATGAAAATCAATAAATAAAGCAAAGCACCAATGGGCTTTGGTGAGCGGCTGTAGGCCATTAAGCAGTAAATAATTCCAGGCAGCTCTGACGAGACTGAGGTGAGCGTGTGTGGATGGACTGTAGATGAGCAGGGGAGAAGGAGGGATGAATGAAATGAGGGAGGAAAGGACGGCGGAGCTCCTTCAAAGAGACAAAAAAAATGTGAGATGATGGAAAGGGGAGGGATGAATGGATGGCAGGGATCCAAAACAGAAAGGAGAGCAGAGTAGGGACAGCATGCAGGGGAATACAGCGAGGACGAGAGACACGGGGGTGAATGAAAGCGGCGATTTCAGGTTTTTCATTCTAAAAAACGAGTGCCGCTGTCTGCCACCAACAAACAATGCAGCTGTGCTACAATGTGCTTTAAAGGGTTGTGGATGCAACTAAATAGATGAAAGGCAATGAAAATGGGAGGACAAGGAAGACATGCAGCCATAAATCCACATCTGCCCAACATATTAGTGTCTCCTCTGACCCTGACAAGCACTCACCAGATGATTGATGGCTAAGCAGATCAATATTTGAGTCGCAGCAGTTACAACAGCAGCCAGCCAAGTGGCCCGAGAGTCCCTCTCACTGAGGGGACTGACTTTACATGCTCAATCAGATTCTCCACAAATACTGATGTAGTTTCCCAATGAAAATCATTCAGTATTAATGAACATCAAACCCAATTCGACAAATCAAATGTCATTTGATATTTCAAGTCAAATGTAACTTGTCTAATGTACAATTGGCCCACTGATGGATTTTTCTTTGTATATAAATATACCAATAAATCAATTTTGGCAAAGTCACTTAATTGGTCGATCACATCAATGCAAGTTCACATTCCCGATGGATTCTTTTTAAGCATAAACCGTATTCACAACCTTATTCCTCTCCCAAAAATAGTTGTTGGGGCATTGCTGTAGACTCTTAGTCCTCTTGTAACTTTCTCAAGTGATACAAATTATCCCTATTTTATTTCAGCATTATCTAACTTGTGCAGTCTCAACACATTTCGCGGCCACATGCTATCAGCCCTTTTATCTGAAACGTAATCACTCCATCTGACATGTGTGCAAACCAGCTGATAAAAATACCATCAGAACTTTGGTGACACGGCTGAAGAAGAGGAGAGAAAGTGTGAAAATGAATTGTGAAATGTTCCTCTGA